ATACATGACAAATTACGTTTTGATAAAATAACCTGAAAGCTCCGTGCATTTTTAAAATTCTTTTTTGCAAATTGTAGTAGATATATTGCTCTTCTCTTCAAATGCATCCTTGCTTTCCAGGAAGTAGAAAACAAATGATGATTTCAGAAGACTTCTTTTCAGAATACATCTAAAATGAAAAGTTCATGTTAATATAAACTTTTAATATCACAATATGACAGAATTGATATCACAGCATCCACTCAGTTGATCCAAAAGTATAATTTCTGTTAGCAAAAAAATTGTTGATAGAAACTCAAACAAAAAAATCAAACAAAATTGTCCTCATGCTAATGGTAATCGTTTCATGCCTGATGCCAATCTTTATACATTGGCGAGATTTGCATACTGAAAGAGATTGGTGGTGCTTGCATGGACGAAAGTCTGATGTTGTGTACTTAAATTTGAAAAATGCCAATGGAACATCATATGTTGCTTTTGAAATTAACAAAGTATGGTGTTGCCGAAGCTTGCTTTAAAGAGCCCTGTTTCTTCGTTTTAGGAAGGCCAAGTACCCTAAGTACCAGAGCCACAAAATTTCGAGCACGTAAATAGAAAACTAAGCGGAGAAGCGGAGACCTTCGCCACTGCGGTCGCTAGAAAATTTTGATGGAGGGGGCTACAAAACCGATGGTTTGCCGACAAAATGTGTATGGCTTTAGATACGGGCGTGGTTCTTAAACGATTATAATGATTATTGATAAAACTCGCGAATATTTATCACTTTGCTCCTCTTCTCGAATCTTCTAGTCCTGCGATCGAATTTATGTGGGTCTGGTACCCATTCATTCTTTCAACTGTTGACAGTTTTGAAAAAAGAAATAGACCTTTTTGAACATTGATCCTTTGATTCTTGTAGCAATAAGTCATTTTAGCCATTTTGATAGTCAAAGATATCATGTCCAAGATAACTAAAGCAAACAAATATAATTGTTCTATATTGTACGACTCTCCAGCCACCAGAAAGCACTAAACATAGGCTTAGATCAATATTCAAAATAGAAAGCATCACCCAGGAGGACTAGATTGCAATCTACATTAAGTAAAAAATTTTTGGCATGACAACTTTATCCGGAAGGTTGTCACGTCGACAATTTTTTTATGATCCACATATGCGCAGTGAATATTGACTAAAGCTAAGGCTACAATCTTTAAACATGAGTGATTACAAAATTTTTGGAAAAATTTTTTTTTTGAAAAAGCCCTTTTCCAAGTTAATAGGACCACCAGTTCAAATAATTATCATTATTGTTCTCATCGTCAATTACTGAGCCACTAAACTAAGGATTTGAGCCGTTCCTGTACATAATGTTTTATGACATTGTCATGATTTCAATAGTCAGATATTCTTCCAAAGTTTCTTAAAACTTTTGTGAAACGAATGTGAAACTAGAACCTCATGTCTTTTCGCTTCACACATCCAAAAGACTGTTCAAAATTTTCCTGAAGATTTGTCTGTCCGAAATTTTAAAAGTATGATATAAAATTCCTTCGACTAAGTTCATTGTCCGAAATTTAATCTGTTGAAAATTTATGTTCTCAATGTATGTGTCGAATGTTCGGTTGGTAGAAAAATTTATCCACAGCTTTTAGACGCGCAAATGCCTTCAGTGCAGTGGCTGCGAGAATTTTTGCCCTTTATTCGAAATACCCTGGGTCCCATAGTCTCCATTATTAAATCTCAGAAATAACGAGGCTCTAGTCTGGTAACCAATGGTATATTAGAAAGAAAGCCTTGAGTTCAAGTACATACCTTCATAAACCTCAACCTCGCATACTTGAAGAAGTTCTTGCCTGTTCAAAAAGATACTGACGTAACGACCCATCAGGACCTGTGGACAATCGAACTTTCTCAACTCTCCACTGACCAGTGTCCCGTCTTTCACACACAGTGCATTGTTTTGTCCGCCATTCGTCTTGTCGTCCCCAACACTGACGTTGAATGGATTGATTCTATCTGTACCCCAAGTTGCGGCATTCTTTATTCGGACACTTGTGACTGCAGCTTGCCTTGTAAGGTCAACTTGCCACCAGGGTGCCATGTCAGCTTGTGTGACACTGCAACTAAACACATCTCCAGTTAATACCTAATAAATAATTACCTAATAAAAATATATACATGCATATATAAAAATGTTTTGCAAGCGATACTCAAATTTATCATTTTTCAGCTGGCATTTTAGTTTTAGAGAGGCCAATGATAATTTTTATCACTTTTGCTGACTTAAGCTTTGGTTTAAAGTCAGTCTGCATGCCAAATCCTAAAGTAAAAGCCAATTGATCAATGGATATTTTCCTTGCAGAATCTTGTTTTGCCATTTTGGCATTTTGTTTGGATAATAATTTCACGTTTGGATTTCATCTTATTTTAACAGTAACTTATTTACTGGTCAGAATTATGCCAATACAAAAACCTGTGTAAAAGAAAAAAATTATCTTTTCATTCAGACTTTGTCTGTACTATTTGGGTGAAGACAAAAAGAAAGAGCTTTGTATTTTTACAACAAATCGAGTGATATTGCCTGGTCTATATACTTAACCAAGAACCAAAAAAAGAAAGATAGAATATTTGAAACAAATATCAAACAAACCAGCCACAAATAATTAGATTATTTGAAACATACCTTCATAAACCTCAAGCTCGCATACTTGAAGAAATTCTTTCCTGTTCAAAAACACACTCACGTAGCGACCCATCATCAGCTTTGGACAATAAAAAGTTTTCATCTCGCCACTAGCCAACCTTCCACCATTTACACAAAGCGCATTGTTTCTTCCACCGTTTGAGCTATCTTTTCCAACACTAACATTGAATGGGTTTATATCATGTGTAGGCCAGGCTACAGAATTTGTTATCCGAACATGTGTAACAGCGGCTACCTTTTCAAGATTCACTTGCCACCAGGGCTGCTCTTCATAACTGGTGAAACTACATTTCTGCCAGTTTGCCGTTCTGTCACCATCATTTCCAAAGCTTGCAACAAGTTCTATTCCGTTATATGTATGGGTTGATGAATGGGAAGATGGCTTCTTATAGGCAATATTCTTTGCTGTGGGTGGAAGAAAATTTACAAAAAGTAATTGTATTAAAAACTCTTCTTATGCACAATACAAAACAAGGGCTTTTGTAAAACTATAAGGTTTTACAGATAAACGTAGACGAAAGAAGGACAACAAAAATGTACATAATTTCTATTCGATATCCAAACGACGGCAATAAACTGGAACAAAAACGAGGATGTATCAAAACCTGACACTACAAATATTCGGCGACTCCACAATAACGATTTTGCGTAACGGCAACTTTAACACGACTAAAGGTAACGTCAACTTCAAATCGACAGAATTTACGAACAAGGGTACAGCAAATATACCACTTGACAAACAAACCCTAATTATGTTTTAACACGATAATTATATCAAACAAAGGGACTGATGAAAACAATAGTCTTGATGGGATGATGCAATGATATAGAATGTTGATGGCAAGGAAACAAACAACAGTACTGACGCAAACATTGGCACACAACACAATTAGTTTACTAGAAACAAAACATGCAAAACTGGTTGTATAGCACTTTGTACCCCAAAAGCAATGTAGTTGCTATTGTATTTACCAATGCATTTATACCCTGGGCAGTAGCAAGTGTCAATGCATTTATGTCCGGCGCTGCAAGGATCATTTGCTTGGCAATACTGACCAACCTGCAATGTAAAAATTTTATTTCATGAATGATCAATTGTTAGCCCTATCACAACATATCACGAGTGCTATATTAGTCTTGAAATTTACGAGAAAAAAAGCTCTTTTTCTTTAAGGGCATGTTTTTTGCAGAGCTAAAAAGATAAAGATTGAAAGCTGTGTTTGATGCTCATCTTGATCAATGACTTGTTGCTCTTCTTTCTTCTCTCTTTTCAACTAATTTTTATATGTGCCCTTTTCGCAATTTTCTGTCACCAAATTAATTTTTAAATTTATAAAGTTAGTTGAATTTTAAATAGGTATTTGAAAAGAAAACTCACATTTTTCTCTTCAAAACGGGTTGAATAATATGTCCAACCCTCCTTTATTTGCGTTTCAATGAAATCTTTTGGATCCTGTGCTGATTTGCTATTCAACTGGCAAATACCAAGCTCTCTGTTTAAATTTATAGACTTGCATCGATGCTCCATGATGCATTCAAACTTACACATCTGCTCATCCAAGTTGTCCAAAGAACGAAATGTAGAACTAAGTGATTGATCATGAAGCACAGCAGTAAAATTGGCAAAGATCTTGCATGGCAGACGAAGTATTTCTCCATTTGTATTTACAGAAATCACAAGCAGCAACAGTCTAAAAAATATTAGTACTGAATCAAGGCTTACTTTTTACTAGCCGTTTTCTACAAAAGCAATTAGAAAATCTCTTTGTCCATTAAAGATATACACATAAAGAAGCCCATCAAACCTAGCAACAATAGTTGTTTTTAAGCATAAAAAATTTTGATGATAAAGTTTCGCGAATCAAAAAAAGCTTACAGAAATTATTTATAAATATCATCTTAGATAGAATTATTTCTCACAAGAAAATCTTCCGTTAGAATGCTGAACTACGTTTAATTATCCGGAGGAAAGTACTTCGGAACCTAAGCCTAATACGTTTTTTTTTGTCTTCACAAGCAAAACTTTAATAAAGCTGTTACACTTTCAAGACCACATATTCTCTAAAGGCTAACAGAGTTTTAGATCTACTTCGAGACAACCTTTGCTATAAATTAAAACTTTATGTAAGAAAATGTAACAGTAATCTTTGTCACAATTCATCCTTGAAAAACAAAATTGAAGTTAGCAAATTGAAAGAAAGAAAATTCGAAGTAAGACTTTTTCATAGAAATATTGTCCGTCAAATTCTTAAGTTAAAACAATCAATTCCAGATGTGGCCAACATTCTACGTTGCTTCATTTTCAGAAAAAAGTTAGTGTCAAAAGCACGGGTTTTGAATCAAAGACTTGCACAAAACTAAAATAGTATGATAACGATCACCAATTGAAAAGTAAATAAAGGGGAAAGAAAGAAGTACAAAGTCTAAAACAAGCGAATGGAGCAACATCGGGAATGAAGAAAAGGACAAACGCGTAAAATAAGTTGACTTTTCTGGAAGAACAGATGGAAAAACATATATAATATAACATTTTAAAATCAAGACATACATTTGAAAATGCATCTTCTTTGATCGGGAAACCAGACAACTTTGTCTTTTAACCTTATACTGGAAGAAAACAGCTCACTTCTTACCAACTTTAAACACACTTTGCACTGACCATCAACTGATTTTATATTCCCATAAATTGAAATTGGAATCTGTTTTTACGTTTGACAACATCGGAATTTATCATTACATTTGAAAATTTGCATTTGTTTAACACTGTTGAAAACACTGTTGTTATTAAAGATTTTTCAGATGCAATTTCTTAATATTTTTGCCGAAAGTCAATTACCTAATCAACCTGCAGAAGTTCTTGTTGCTTAGAAAAATAATAAAATAATAATACAGACATGCATTTTGAGAAAAGTTTTGCTTTAGTAGCTTGAAGGATCTGTTGTTAATTAGCATTCTAATTGCGTCGAATCATTTGCTGCCAATCGATTGATTTATTAAATTGCGCAATTTTTAATTTCTAAAGAAGTTTAGATAGATGGTGCTTTTAAATTCAAAAAAGTCCATTCTTCATTATCTTATGTAAACAGTTGATGATGAATATTTTTGTATTGAAATGCATTGATTAATATTAAATTTTCTATTGCTTATATAATCAAAGTAGAAAAATAGCAAAAGTTTTTTTCAAGAACCTAAGGCTTTATAGGCATGTCAAATGATCATACTATCAGATATTTAGAATGAATTTTATTAAATCATTTATTAAAATAGTATTCCTTTTTTAACCTTCAGATTTTTTTCTATTCAAATTATATAAACGAAAGTTTTAGAAATGTCAAATTTTTAATGCTAATTAAAAGGAAATTATATCGATAAGAATTAGGTTCAAGCCAATGAGGATAGCCAATGAGGAAAAATAGAATTCACTCTTTGTACCAAACCAATATCCCCTGGGAGTTTTAAATTATGTATCAACCAAAAAATTGCTCTCCTTGCATACGAAATTTTGCACTTTCTTTTCTATATTTCTATTAATTTCAAATCTATTTCATGTACTCTGAAAAAAATTGTTCAAGTCAGCAAACAAATAGCTTTTATTCGACTAGTAGACCATGAAAAGGAAAATGAGCCCATCCTTTTCTGTTTAGGATAAACACATTTGGAAGCCAAATTAGCGATCATCGAAAATGTGTACAATTATTTCTGGCCGGATGTTGATAGGAAGCAAGTATCCTTCTCCATCCTTCCATTTCCCTTTTTTCAGCCCTGCACTCTTTCAAAAGGTCTCTTCGCATATCGTAAGGCCGTATTGTATACAGTTAGTTAGAATTAAGAAACCTCTGCCAGCTTTGAAACTTTTCCATAAAGGTGTTCCGTGCCTATCGCTGTGAATTTGAGTTTAAAAGAAAATCTTTGTTAGATATATCTTGCAATTGTTTAGGTAATATGGGATTGGATTCATTAGTAATGGACAAATTAGAAAAATACGAAGAGTTGCATTAATTATGCAGGAGAAATAATTCAATTGTCTAGCTTAACAAACAACAAAATCCCTCAACAAATGATGTTCTGCTTAAATAGCTCTTTATTTTTAGATTCGCATCTTTTCTTTGCGCAAATAATTCAACATAAAGAGGAGTGAAGTATTGCTGGGCTGGACAGAAACAGAGACAGTTGTAAGAAAAATTCAACAATTTGAAAGTAAGTTATATTTTATTTTAAGTCTAGTATTCCCCATTCCGACTATTCCGAAATTTGAGGAATACAAACATCCCCTTTCCGGTTAATCGGTAATTAAAATCTTACACTTTTGTCTGTGCTTCCCCATCCTTTTCCTTTGACTTAAAATCATTTCATTTATCTTCGCAGATTTCACTTCAAATGGGTTTATTAGGTTCAGATTTTACGAGCAAGCCATTTTCAGCTTAGATC